ACATCATACTAGTCTTGTTATATCATTATTCCCACAATGATACATGACTAGGGAGTTTAGTATTGTTCATAACAATACATGGATTTCATAACATATTAAAGCATGCACAATACGTAATGAATCAAACACTCATCCATAAACTATAGAAAGTGTCAATACATCAAATGTATCTAAGTAAAGCTCGCATAACAGTACATCATAGAGTACTAAACTAACAAAGCCCTTGTAGCAGTCAAAAGGTACTGCACTATTTTCCCCCTACTTTCTAACCGAAATGTCTAAACATTACTTGCATAATTTCTCTTCTATAACTACTTTTTTTTATTTCCTCTTTAATACTCTTATTATAAATTCTATCTATCTAACATCTATCGTAAAAATGAACTAAAATAAAAGTATTTTAATAAATAATAAGAATAATTTGGACAAAAATATTATAAATATATAGTATATTTTAGATTTTTAACAAATATAGTAGATACTTCTTGTAAAATAATTGAACCCCCACACGGATTCGGGGATCGAAAATTTAATCTTGTTAATACTCGATCTCATCATCGTTAATATTCGAGTACCCTTTATTCGAGTATTTTTTAAATCGGGTATCTTCAAATCTATGGTTTACGGGTTCAAAGTTCGACCCCTACTGGTACATACTAAACAAGTAAAAAAAATAGAGCTGGCTGGAGACTCCTTGCCGTTCTGCATTTTTTTGTCTAAACTGCGTGCTGTTCCTTTAGACGCTATCTTCTTACGCTTGGTCTTTCTTCGTTTCTTACGGCCTGTCCGAGCTCAGCCATGGAGGCCAGACTCTCTGAAACCCTCGGCCTCCCGTCTCCTAACCCAAATCACTGTCTTCCCACTTCCGATTTCGTTTCCCTCTTCACCCGCTTCACCGATCTCACATCCACCCGAAAACCTGTTCACAGAAACCCCGAAACTGAAACCAAATCTGTCAACTGGTTTAAGCTCTCGAAGAAGTCCCCGAAATCTGTGGAATCCGCTGGAAATTCTGGGAAACCCATCTTTTTTGGCGCTCCATTTGCTTCGACCTCGGTCTCCGATCCTGTCACGACGAGACCCGGACCCGATTTCCTGAAATGGGTCAAACCCGCTTCGAGGGACAGTCCGAGGATTCAGACGGTCATGAAGAACCTCTCCGTCTTCGAGCGTGCCCTTATCGGCGCTGGAGGCGGAGGAATCGCCGGTGCGTTCACGTACGTTTGCCTTCACCCTCTGGATACGATTAAGACCAAGCTTCAGACCAAAGGCGCGTCTCAACTCTACAGCAGCACCTTCGACGCGATCGTGAAGACGTTTCAGAGCAAAGGGATTCTAGGTTTTTACAGCGGCGTCTCCGCCGTGATTGTGGGGTCGACGTTCTCCTCCGCCGTGTACTTCGGCACCTGCGAGTTCGGTAAGTCGTTCTTGTCTAAGTTCCCGACATACCCTTCTGTCCTAATCCCTCCGACGGCCGGAGCAATGGGCAACATCGTGTCATCAGCGATAATGGTTCCAAAAGAGCTCATCACACAGAGAATGCAAGCCGGAGCAAAAGGCAGATCATACGAAGTATTGCTCAAGATTCTAGAGAAAGATGGAATTTTGGGGCTTTATGCAGGTTACTCTGCTACATTGTTGAGAAATTTACCGGCGGGGGTTCTGAGTTATTCGTCATTCGAGTACCTTAAAGCTGCGGTTTTGAACAAAAGAAAGCAAACCCATTTGGAGCCAATACAGAGTGTGTGTTGTGGGGCATTGGCTGGGGCAATTTCTGCGTCCATAACCACACCCCTTGATGTGGTGAAGACGAGGCTGATGACTCAGGTTCACAGTGATGCAGCGAACAAAGTTGCCGCGGCTATGTATTCTGGTGTGACCGCGACTGTGAAACAGATACTTAAAGAGGAAGGATGGGTCGGGTTTACGAGAGGAATGGGTCCACGGGTTGTTCACAGCGCTTGTTTCTCAGCTTTGGGTTATTTTGCGTTTGAGACTGCAAGGCTTACGATCTTGAACGAGTATGTGAGGAGGAAAGAAGCCAGTGAAGCTGCAATGCTCGCCGATTCTTGATGTTTCTTTTGATGGATATAGGAGCTTGTGAGCATATAAAGTGTTTTGAACTTTCGTTTTGGTTTTCTGAAAGTAGCATTCCAGAATCCAGATGGCAAGCCTGCCCCTTGTTGGATTCATGGATGTTATGCTAGTCTACATAAGCTCGGTTATATGAGAATTATCAGAGATTGTTTTAGGCTCCAGCCTCGTCTGTTTTCTATCCTGGAAAATGTTTCATCTGTTTTCTATCAGTACACTTGTTCTTCTACTGTTGGGTTGCTGCTGCATGTTATTAAAGGTTTTCACTTTGAACATCCAGTTGGGTTCAGTTATTGAAGGTCAAGTTGTTCTTCGAGGTCTCTTAAGTCTTCTCTTGTTTGGTTATGCCAATGTTTGAGGCTCTTAGTTAAATCACTTGGCTCTGTTTCTTTGAACCTTGCGTGATCAGAGTCTCTCTCTCTCTCTCTCTCTCTCTCTCTCTCTCTCTCTCTCTCTCTCTCTCTAGTTCAAAGCGTAAAACCCAAATCTTTCCCTGCAAAACCCTAACACAAACCAGAGAAGGACAGAAACCCAGACCGGAAATGCATCACTCTCTCCCGTCGCTTTTCTTCCTTCACCTGATCCTCTCCCAAGGTTTTCCCACACTTTCCCGCCGATTCTCGCCGTCCAAACACAACCTAACACTGTACGGAGACGCCTTCTTCCGCAACAACACCATCTCCCTCACCCAGCAGCGACAACAGCCCTGCCTCTCCTTCGCCGCCTCTCCCCCCAGCATCGGCCGAGCACTCTACGTTTACCCAATCAAATTCCGGGAATTCTCCACCAACACGACAGCCTCCTTCTCCTGTCGCTTCTCCTTCTCCATCGTCTCTTCCCCTTCTTGCCCCTTCGGCGACGGCTTCGCCTTCTTGATCACTTCCAACGCCGACTCCTTCGCCTTCTCCAATGGCTTCTTGGGTCTCCCCGACCCGCAAGATTCCTTCGTCGCCGTCGAATTCGACACGGGTTTTGACCTGGGTCAAGGCGATATCAACGATAACCACATCGGAATCGATATGAACTCCGCTGTCTCGTTTGCTTCTGTTGATGCGATATCCAAAGGGGTTGATCTCAAGAGCGGGAGAAAGATGATGGCCTGGATCGAGTACAGTGACATGCTCAAATTCATCAGGGTCTGGGTCGGGTACTCGGTGGTGAAGCCTGCGAGTCCTGTTTTAGCGACACAGATCGATCTCTCCGACAAGCTCAAGGAGTATATGCACGTTGGTTTCTCCGCTTCCAACGGTCCTGGATCAGCTCTGCATATCATCGAGCGTTGGAAGTTTCGAACTTTTGGGTCTTACCCAGATGGAATTCAAGACGAAGAACAAGATGAAGATTGTTTGGTCTGTTCTCGCGAAGATTTCGGGAACAGAAGCGAGAAACTTCGCCGTAAAGGCTTCAACTTTAGGATTTCTGTTCTTGGATTGAAGCTCCCTTTCTCGTATTTGCTTCCCGCTTTAACCATGGTCGTGATTCTTATCGGATTCATCGTTTTCCGGGTAATGCGAAACAAAAGGGTCGGCGAAATTCCAGAAGAAGAAGAAGGAAAAGAAGAAGAAGACGAGGATGAGAGGAATTCGACGCTCAGTAGAATACCGGGAAGGTTGTCGTTGGCCGAGTTGAAATCTGCGACAAAGGGGTTTGACGAAAACGCCATTGTCGGTCAAGGAGCTTCGGCAACTGTCTACAAAGGGTCAATCCCAACGATCGGATCAGTTGCCGTGAAACGCTTCGATCGAGCCCACTGGCCACAGTGCAACCGAAATCCGTTCACCACAGAATTCACAACCATGACAGGTTACTTACGGCACAAGAATCTCGTCCAGTTTCAGGGCTGGTGCTGCGAAGGAACAGAAACAGCCCTAGTGTTCGAGTACTTGCCCAACGGAAGCCTCAGTAACTTCCTCCACAAGAAACCCACCTCGACCCACCCATCGGAAGAACCCCTAATCCTCTCGTGGAGACAGCGGGTCAACATCATCCTGGGCGTGGCCTCCGCCCTCACCTACCTGCACGAAGAATGCGAGAGACAGATCATCCACAGAGACGTAAAGACCTGTAACATCATGCTGGATGCGGATTTCAATGCGAAATTGGGCGATTTCGGGTTAGCCGAGGTGTACGAGCACAGCTCAGAAGTAACCGGCCGAGACGCCACCCTCCCGGCAGGAACGATGGGATACTTAGCGCCAGAATACGTATATTCCGGTGTACCGTCGGAGAAAACAGATGTGTACAGCTTCGGGATCGTGGTTCTTGAGGTATGCACGGGCCGTAGACCGGTGGAAGAGGACGGGACGGTGCTGGTGGAAATGATGTGGAAGTTGTGGGAGAGAGGGAAGGTTCTAGAAGGAGCGGATGTGAAGCTGAAAGGAGAGTTCGAGGAGGAAGAGATGGAGAGAGTGGTGAAGGTCGGGATGGTTTGTGCTCATCCCGACTGTGGGAAGAGGCCGAGGGTGAAGGAGGCGGCCATGATCATAAGAGGGGAGGCTCTTCCGCCGGTTCTGCCGAGGAAGCGGCCGGTGGTTAGCATCGGCTCCGCCGGCTTGGAGGAGGACGGAGCATATCTAATATCTTGATT